CTCGAGCTTCTCCATTTTGCGGGCCAGGTGGAGGTTGCGGTACACGTTCCAGCGGCTGGAGGAGAGGACCTTGTGGGAGAGGAGCACGCCGGAGCGGAGGAGCTCCGAGAGGCGGTCCAGCTGGGACTGCCGCTGGGCGGGAACCTCCACGCCCGAATATTTTATCTCCTCGATCGTCGGCAGCAGCTCGTTCATGTACGCGATCAGCTGGTCGGCGCTGGCGCGGCAGAGGAGCGACTTCCGGGAGATGCTGATCAGCATCTTCACCAGCTCCGCCGCGATCTCCCCCGCGAAGAAATCGTTCAGAGCCATTCTCTACTCACTATACTACACGCTTCTATCTTCTACCTTATGCTACTACGTCTACGCTTCTTTTTCTTCTTTAATTTCTCCCACTTTCTCTCTACGCTTATTTCGCTCTGCTTTCTTAAACCATTTTCATTGGTGGAAAATTTTGCACACCTCCCTCTATTTCTTTTCTTAATTATAAATAATAAATTATATTTTTTTTAAATATTATGAGAACCTTGGTCTGAATTTGCAACTTGGTCTGATAATATTATGAGAATCTATACTCTTAATTTTATTTTTTATATATTTACTTATATCTAATATTAAATATAATAAGAATTAATTATTTACGGTGTAAAAAACTTTTATATTATCAATTAGATATATTTTTTAATTATGTAATGTCACTATTAAAATAAATGTATTTATAATGACATAACATAATTAAAAGATTATTAGTATAAAAAACTTTTACATCGATAATATATAAGTGATTATTTGTGTGGATCTCTTTTACACCGTAGTTGTCAGAGTCAGTGTCCGGATCTCAAGCTGTCAGAGCACCGCACTGCTACAAGTGTCTGTGATGCTGTTTCCGGTCATCTTCCGAAATCTTTGAGGAAGGGATGTTTTTATTCCCTAAACAATGAATAATTGGCACGTGCCATGCTAATTTGGGGATAAAATTCCTTCATGTTTCAAAGCTAACAGTAGGACTAAATTTAATGATTGACACGTGCCATGCTAATTTCGGAATTAATCACGCTCTTCAAATTTAACAAACTAAATTTTAAGACATGTTTATACAATTCTTTTCACGGTTCTAGAAAATTTTGATCGTAACCGTATGTTTGGTAAAGAGAAAACAGATGAAAGAAAAAAGACAGAAAAGAAAAGAAAAAAAAAAGAGAAAAAAATAGAATAAGTGTATAAGTTGTTTGGTAAAGAAAAAAATGAAAGGAAAATAAAATGGAAGTTAAATTTTGATTGATAATTTTATTTTTAAATTATTTTGGTCTTTTATTTTATTTATTAAATTATTAAATTATTTTATTTTTTTAAAATATTTATTTTAATATTTATTTCCTAAATTTGAATTGATTTCATATTTTGAAATAATCATTATTTTTTATTTTGAGATGTGATTTTGAATTATTTTTAACTAATTTAAGACTTAAAATTTCATTTTATTAAATTTATTTATTAGATGAAATTATTGAACATAATTGAAGTTTAAGAAAAAAAGTAATAAATATGATAAAATTATGTAAAAATAAATCTAAAAAAACAATTTAAAAAATCAAAAAATATAATTTCATATATTTTTTTAGTTATTAACTATATATATTTTGACAAATTTTTATATGTTTATTGCCTTTTGAATATCAATTCAATTTTATAAATTTTATATAAATGAATCTAACATTATAATTTTCATATTTTAAAATTAGTAAAAAATTAATTTAAAATCATATTGTAAAATTAAAAATTATTATTATTTTAAAAAAGAAAAATTTAAATATAAAAAATAAAAGATTAAAATAAAAATTTGAAAAGATAAAAAATTAAAATAAGGAA